CAAAATGTATTAATAATTTATTACAAGGACTCGATGTAGACTAAAGCGGTTCAGCTATCAAGATGCTTAGCCAACCGTGAAATAAGGCTATTCGTCAAATTATTTAGGTATGAGTCAATGTTGATGAGGTGGATTATTGTTGCGTCTGCGGACACCATTCATGCTTAATCGCTTAATGACTTAAACAAGACTAAAGACACGCCTGGTAAAGCTGTTCCCTTGCCGATTTGGTCTGAGCATATACAGGGTGAGCCAAAAAAAAGGAAACCCAAATGGCAGGACAATTTTCTTAATAAAGTTCTGCGTGTAGCACTTTCAAAATCTAGGATATGAAAGCCCCATTAATAAGCTTTCTTACAAGAATCATTCAAAATTATTTGTATACTTTTCAAGTAACAGAATTTTAAACACAACCACCGTTTAAAAGTTCTGTCCACGGATCACAAAAAAGGTGTGCATTCTTTCAGCAAAACGAAAAACAATTCACACACCCCCCTATGTGAATTGTTTTCGTTTTGCTGAAAGAATACCTTGTTTGTGATCCGTGGACAGAACTTTAAAACAGTGGTTGTGTTTCAAATTCCGTAACTTGAAAATTACATGAGTGATTTGAATGATTCTTGTAATTAAAGAAAGCTTATTAATTGGGCTTTTATATCCTAGATTTTGATAGTGATACATCCATAAAATTATTAAGAAAATGGTCCTGTCATATGGTGTTTTTTTTGACTGACCTTTTATAAAAACTATTTTGTGGGCCATGAACTTTGAGAGTTTGTAAACCAGAAGGGTAGAAGCCGTGAACAACAGGACTGGCAACTTGTATTTCTGTGAAATTTGGATGAAATTGAGCCCTAAAGTTACTCTACTTTGCAATGAATCGTAGGCATCAAAATGGCGATGTTTTCAAAATGGCGATGAATGGAAATTTCTCCCGAAAGTCATTGCATGACCCCCCCCCCCCCCAAAAAAAATGAACAGAAAATGACAGATGGAGAAATAAGCTTTAATCTGATATGTGTCTCAAACTCGTTGGAGGGTTGTTATTTGCCTGAATTTTAGAAGTGGACGTTTTATCACTTGGGTCTATGGTAGTTTCTTCACTGGTCTGCAAACCCCATAGGTTTAAGTCACAAAGGACAGTCAGTTGTCAGGGAGATAGACAGTCAGTTAGATAAACAGTTGTTGGTCATTGATATAGGCACAGAAAGGACACCAGACTGGCACTCGTGGACCAAGAAAAAAATGTTAGAACGAAAAGAAAATGTATCCACATCAATTCAACGACCGTGCATTTCGTTCACAGCCGTTCAAGCTTCGGCGATCGCGTTTACGTCGTGTATAGCGCCTTATTACATACCCTGTATGTCTACACGACCCAAAAAAACTAGTTATAATTCGCTGTGTTTTGCGCATGCGTGCTTGAGGCCAAGTCTTGCTGCGTGTTTTACGTTAATGTGCAATGAGCGGGTTGGTCTATCCGTAACTCTATCTGCCAGTGACCGTGTAGCGGAAGGACGCGATACTTGGCGGCTCAGGAACGGCGGCTCGAGTCACAAGTGGTTCGGATGCTCGTACGCAGCGGGTCGTTTCTAATTCCCTCTTTCAAAACTGTGATGAAAATAATTCTCAAGCAACGGTACCACATTGTCACAATCTACGCAGGAACAAAGAATTGATTGTGGCGCATCGCGATGAGATATAACCGGGATTGTTGTGACGACCAGTAAAAGGTAGGAAAACTTCAGATATTTTCTAAATCGCGGTCTCGTTTCGGCATTGTCTTTAAATTCAAATTCATGCATCAAGTACAGACAGTGCTATTTCATCTGGCCTTATATTATGGGATGTATATGTTGAGCAGGTGTCCGCCGGAGTAAGGGCCCCTAAAATTGCCCGAAACCGCAGCCGCAGATGCAGCCGTAGTTTTAAAAAACATCACCGGTTTTGAAAATTTTGTCTTGCAGTACGGTACTCTTTTCTGTTTTATTTCACCTCGGCGGGCCTACTCGCCCGTCAACGTATTTTTGAGAGGTTGATATTTAGGATGTTTTTATCTGTCCACAATAAATATAAGATGTTCACAGTAATTTCTGAGGAATTCGAGAGATCTGCCAGTACGAAGACACATAGGAATCATACATGATATCAGCGATACTCACTCTGCGCGCACCGTCAGCTTAAGACAACATTCCAGTGCGCGGCTGTGGGCACGCGATGGGCCCCTGTTCTCTGTGCAGTCTCCAAAGAGTGAACATTGCGCTACGAAATGTAGCAGTGATAATCTTCCATTACACATAGCTTTTGGTAATCGCGTAGCTTAGGGCCCCGTTCAATATTAGAGAATTAAGACACATTTATGTTTTGGGACTTAATACTTTAACATTTGGCTTTGATACAAGCAGGACAAGTCACTTTATTTGATTGGAATCATTTCGCTAAGATATCTCGTAGAATATCAGCTAGGCCAGGGTTTTGATTTATGAACAGATCTTGTAAATCATAAGAGGTGTCCTAATAATTCCACCGAATGCTATAATAGGGCGACTTTTCCATAGACTTTGCACGGACCTAAAATATCGCCTAACCCAAGTTTACCTCATCCTTCCTTCACGAATTTGGGAATACTTATGTTTTGAACCACGAGGAATCGATCTAGACTATTTGCCACACTAAAATTCCTTCTCCTAAGGGTCGTTTTAACAAAAGGGCGACGCCAAATAGTCGCCCCTTTAAGGTGTGTCGCCCTCATACAGCAATAATAAGCCGTATTCAGTATTCAGTAGTGTAATCTACACGATTACCAAGCTTTTGGTGTTAAAACCGTTTACCAATGAGTACTGAATGAGCATCCAATGCCAATATTGAATACGAGAATGAGTATTTGCATTCAGACGGGAATTTCTACATGGCACACTATAGAAACTGATTTAGAAAAAACCCAAATGGTGCGAATTTCACATTTTCTCCAAGATGGTTGGCAGAATATCCATTGAAATATAAAACCAACCAAAAAGCAAGATTAGAAAACGATTATTACATTGAGAACTTTACTAAAAACTGTAGGAATAGGACGCCTGCACTTGTAGGCAGGAGGTCGTAGGTTCGAGTTCCACCGAGTAAGCTTGTGTTTTTTGTCGTTGTCGCAAGCCCTCGGACAACACTGAGTTTACACAATGCTTATAAATTGCGTCGGCGAAGAAAAGGAAAACCCTTTGACGATACAAGCATGGCATTTGGCACACAGTCAGAGTACATCATGAAAAAGATATTTGGCTATAGGGCCATCGCCGATTTGTCCTTTGAAAAAAAAATAGATAGAATAACAAGCAATGGCAACCATTTTGAATATTTTGAAACTTGCTTGTTATTCTACCTATATTTTTTTCAAAGGAGAAATCTGCGATGGCCCAATAGGCAAATATATTTCTATTTAGACACACTCTGACTGTGCCAAATGCCATGCTTGTATCGTCAAAGGCACATTTCCCCCCAATATTTCCCCTATCTGCCCCACTAAACAAATATTAAATGTGAATTTGCCAGAGCAATTACAACACCTGCAGTGCATTATTTTATTGTGAATAGACAAAGAGGTTTCCAATTCTCCAGATGAATGTTCGCTATTTCGTTGCGAGCTTAGGGAATCAAAGAGTATTTTTTTTTAATTGAAAGTCACGAACCTAATCGAAAATCAAAACAGTGTTGATCGTTGGAAATTACATTGCATCAATGCTCCCCACTGGATCGCTTGTAAAGCCCACTGAGTTACTTTAAAGATTGACCTCGATGCATATCAAAGCCATTAATTTAATAATGTAAAACTATACCTTTCATTTGGGTTATGATCAATCCGCCTGTCTTCAGTTTATGCGACGGAAAGGATAATGCAATCGGTTGGAGGGTATGAGACACAGCGCCTTGATAGGTGCTTGTTAATGTTGCATGCATCAGCACGGATAAGTCTTTCGTCAGGTGTATGCCCCCAAATGCACAGTATGTGGATTGAGACGAATGTGGAGATCCCGCTTGAATAATCGTGCGGTAGTGTGAATTAACTGACACAGATATTTTCTGTCTTCTAACAAGATATCAAGAGAAAAAAAATTGTCACCACCGTTTTTAAACGATAGAGAACTCGTCAGTGTTTAATTGTGATATTCGATCCAAAGAATTGTTTCATTTACATCGCACGTAATACCTAAAAACGACAATCAATATTTATTTTGAATGAATGCAAATCAATAATGAAAATCATCAATTGCCAACAGTATGCCAGCGTTTAGCTTACATTTCAGTCATATTCGTTCATGTTTCTCTTTTTGAAAGACATACAGGATCATCTGCGTCTGTCTCAAAAGTAGCCTCCCGAACTATTATACAAAAAAAATTGTCTTGATTAATTAAAGATCGTAAACACCCCGTTAAATTATTCTGTCTGGCTTGTTTAGAAAAAAATCAAGAAATGATGATTTCCAACGATCAGTCAGTTGACTGACATTTGGAAGTAAAGAGTGATTGACGAAATCGTGTTTCACTTCATAATTTTTCACTGTTTTCCCGAATTTCGTAATATTTACTGAGCTGAAACTTCCACAGCTTAGATTTTTAACACCTCCGCCAAGGAGGTTATGTTTTCATCGGATTTGGATAGTTTGTTGGTCGGTTGGTTTGTCTATTAACAAGACAACTACAAATCAAATCGATTAGATATTAGAAGTGATCTGGATCTGGGTCTGGATCCAGGATTTCTTTAAAGGATTCTTCACCATTTATGCGAGTATTTCTATTGGGTGTACCGACTATATGGCGGGGAATTGTTTAGCCTTGGCGGAAGTTTGCGCTCTCTGAGTGCTTTCTATTATTGGAAACGAAAAACAAAAATGCGTGAAAAGCAAATGATCCCTTATTCCTTAAAAAAACACACACACACAAATATAATAAGATATCAAGTCATTGACTTTGTATCCATAAAAAAGCCCATGGTCCCCAATTCGCTCATGGTCCCCAATTCGCTCATGGTCCCCAATTCGCTCATGGTCCCCAATTCGCTCATGGTCCCCAATTCGCTCATGGTCCCCAATTCGCCCACGGTCCCCAATTCGCTCATGGTCCCCAATTCGCTCATGGTCCCCAATTCGCCCATGATCCCCAATTCGCCCACGGTCCCCAATTCGCTCATGGTCCCCAATTCGCCCACGGTCCCCAATTCGCCCATGGTCCCCGATTCGCCCACGGTCCCCAATTCGCCCACGGTCCCCAATTCGCCCACGGTCCCAAATTCGCCCATGGTCCCAAATTCGCCCACGGTCCCCAATTCGCTCATGGTCCCCAATTCACCCATGGTCCCCAATTCGCTCATGGTCCCCAATTCGCTCATGGTCCCCAATTCGCTCATGGTCCCCAATTCGCCCATGATCCCCAATTCGCCCACGGTCCCCAATTCGCTCATGATCCCCAATTCGCCCATGATCCCCAATTCGCCCACGGTCCCCAATTCGCCCATGGTCCCCAATTCGCTTATGGCACCCAATTCGCCCATGGTCCCAAATTCGCCCATGGTCCCCGATTCGCCCACGGTCCCCAATTCGCCCACGGTCCCCAATTCGCCCACGGTCCCCGATTCTCATAAGTCCTCTCTGGTATACTCAAAACCAAACCTTGTTAGTAGGTTTGATAACCGTAATCCCTAGGGTATGTGAACAATCATTTTAAAATTGGACGATTCATGACTGTTAGGGTTAATTCAATTTCTGCAAACAAGTATCTCCTTAGAGAAACTCCCACTGCCATTGAACATAATACAAAGACGAATGTTTCAGCCTTTCAGCGTGCCGCCTGAAATATATTTTTCTTTGCTCGTATGTGTTGATCATCCATCGTTGGCGCTGTTTACGTCCAGACTGCGTGTCATTAATTTTGAGGGAAAATAATTTGATGGTTGTCAGTCGCGATGGAGTAATTCTGGAAAATTAATTCGTTAAAGCATGGGACGGCGTGCACTTTCCCTTTTCCGGTGTCCCTATTTTTTTCTCTCGGAAATCATTCATCTGAGATGACAACTTGCATCAATTAGTTACGTTGTCCTGCTTTGAAATCCTCTTCCATAAAATAATAATCATAGCGTGTGTTTCTTTTCAGTATCTAGATATATCTGAAATCAAAGTTTTGATTGATGTTATCAGACAAGAAATCTGTGAGATTCTATTAATTTTTGTTTTTCAATCGTGTTGAAGGCATCGACGTGCACGCGTTCAGGGCTTAATTTAATGGCTCTGAAAACCACGGAAATATTCGCTTAATCCGAATGAGAAGCTGTTACTGCGGTGGTGTCACGCTCATGCGCATGCGGCACGCGTTCTTAAAGACGAGGTATTCCTATTGGTCGAAGGAGCCCGGAGTGCGTGTGTATGTGCCTGAGCGCAACTCGAGCAGAAAATGGCTGCCGCCGGATTTGTCTATCAGGGCTTAAAACGAACTTTGGGAAACATATATCTCGTAAAAACGAACTTTGGGAAACATATATCTCGTAAAAACGAACTTTGGGAAACATACATCTCGTAAAAACGAACTTTGGAAACATATATCTCGTAAAAACGAACTTTGGTAAACATATATCTCGTAAAAACGAACTTTGGGAAACATACATCTCGTAAAAACGAACTTTGGAAAACATATATCTCGTAAAAACAAACTTTGGGAAACATAAACATCACTTTTTAAAAATATATACTTGATGGCACTCCAGGGCTTTCGTAGTACGGGATTACTCGCGTACGGTGAGCACTAAGCCATGGAAATAATGTTGCCCTGAACATTCATGTCTATTGCTGGCCTCCGCGGTGACGCCAATAACGAATTTGAAAAGAGAGTATTGCGTGCTGCGTGTACTTTCGAGTGTTGATGCTCTCCCGATCGGAGACACATGGGCTTAAAATGAAATCCCTACTGTCTATTGGTTTGTCAGACATCAAGTGGGCACACTTATTTCTGGTTTAGGAGCAACTCGACTTGAAGATATTCAATTTTTGCCTGAAGGGTCTGTCTGTGGTCAAAACGCCGCAAAAGTCTATTACTGCGGTCTTAAATTACCAGCTTAAATCGTATCGCTTAACTCGGCCAATCGCCTCCATCTCATCAACATGCAGTTGATGCCAACACCGACGCCATGGGAATGGGATCCGCCTCTCAACTGTATAGTCGGTCCTCCACTTGCAGTCTTCATCTCTTCATTCATTTTAATCACTCACCTGCTGACAATTACTGCATTTGAGCTTGAGTTCCTCCCGCCCCGGCGGGGTGTGAATTAAAGAATTAAAGCATCTTTATTTATGTGCCATTCTCGACATAATAGCTGTTGGCTAATGTTTCACATGTCGGTAATTCTCGGGGGTTAGAATGTTCTCCGAACACCAGTTGCTGTCAGTCACGATTGCGTTTTGATTGACCCCGTCATTTCGCAGCATTCATGTATAATGTGCGTGGACAGATGCTGGGTGTGGTGCACATCATCAAGAAACAGTGTTTAAGGGGCACCACGGCCTGAAATCGCCGAAAATTTCATGTTTTGGATTGTTTACTTATCCTATTTCAAAGGTCTGGTTGGAAGGAAACTAAACTAATGTCTTACACTAGGTTCAGACAGGCGTTCCAGAGTCGCGCCGAACCAAATGAAAGTCTAGATTTGAATTAAATGCGTCAAAAGTCCGACGTCTGAAACAATTAGGAGCGACTTGACGCGCTCGATGGCGAAAGATCGACTGTTGGAGTCGTTAGAACGACTCAGGAGTGACTTGGTTTCAGACAACGCTCTAGTCATGAGCCGAACTCAATGCAAATGTATGTAAATGTATGTAAATAAGCAGTGACCTTCAAAAATAAGGTCTGCAGGCAATGTGTTTAATGCGCGACGCAGTGCTTATAATTTAAAAGTTTTCTTTTTGCAGATTTACATCCTTTCAAACACAAGATTTCGATGTCGTGTTACAGAGCAAAAACTTACAATAAAATGTGTACGTCCCACTGTCGCCCCAATACAAGATGCGTAAGATTTGAGGCTTTGCATGGTGGAGATACTAAATAATGAAAGGTTTGCGGAAACACCATGTGCGAATAATTTCTCAACTAAGAGAATGGTTCTGAAAAGAACCAGAGGTATAAACTCGACGTTCCTGTCAGTATGCTCTGACCGTCTTCAGAAGTTCTCCTGAAGACAGTCAGAGCATACTGACCGGAACGTCGAGTTTATACCTCTGGTTCTTTTCAGAACCGTTCTCTTAGTTGAGAAATTATTCGCACATGGTGTTTCCGCAAACGTTTCATTATTTAACACAAGATGCATTTTTTTTAAAGCAGAAACCGAGACTTCCAGTATCCATGTTGTACAGGCACGGTGCAGTCTTGAAATACAAATTGTTCGTACATGGCGTGACGTGCAAGAGATAACGCCAGCGCACATGGCGTACGTGCTCATAGATATAGAACGTGCTAGCTGTCTTCTTCGATACGTGCGCACTTCGCGCAGTACGTTCTCAATCAGCTTCGATGCATCGATTACGTATTACACGGCCAGGCGTTTGCGTAGTGAAGGAATGCGCACGCAGCCCATACATCAATGCTGCATGTATTAAGTTCGCCTGTCTGAAACCAAAATTCTAATAACATCGACCTGGAGTCGCTCCTAATATATTTGGTTCGGCGCGACTCTGGAACGCCTGTCTGAACCGGGGGTTACTGTTACCGTGACAAAAAAAACGTGGTTGTTTACATCGAACGCGGCGGACAGTTTGTGGCATAAGCATACGTATTTTAAGTCGTCTCTATTCATTGAAATGTACACAGTGTGTGTGTCACATAATTCACACAGCACCAATGCACAAATGTTGTTTTCTACACGTCCGCAGAATGCGAACCACTGTGCGACAGGAATCACAACTAGCACTCACAACTCGATTTTTCTGGGACAAAATTGTGACCCCGAAATTCGTTCTCGCATGGTTCTCGCAGGAATAACACAAACACGCCCAGTTTTAAAGAATGGTTGTGGGGACGTTTGTATCCTACTTTTAATTTCTTTGCAATTAATTTATTTTCGTTCCAAACGCGTTTTGTAGCCCAATTGGGTGCAGTCCAGGCCGTAATGTCCCTTTAACTGCTGTTTATCGGTGAGATGATCCATAGTGATTTTTACAGTGCATGCGTTGTGGATTTCATTTTGACAGTACATGTATTTGAAATTTTGGGAAATTTTCAGTCCGTTGTAGATCTGTTGCGAATTAAGCCTGGCCTGAAAATTGACTGAGACGCGCATGGAAAGGCGGCACAACACTGCAAGGACTGCGTTTATTTCAAATTTCCGTGCTCTGTTAAAAACTATAGTTAACCATTTTTCCATTTAGTTATGAAGTGTGGAAGAAAACCAGTTTTAAAGAACAAAAGCACTAAATTTACTTTCCATGCACTCTTTTTGATCTTCCTTATAATTGTTTTCATGATTTCCTACACGGGGGAATTAATCTCCTTTGATACTTTGTGAGTGGCGGCGAGACTTTCTTGGTTCAAAATTTAAGACTAGCTTAATCTCTGCCTTTTTTATTTGAATATTCCATTGGAAAAGTAGACACTGATCTAATTCCTTAATTAGCAATAAAATGTTATCGAATCTATTCACGAGGAGACCAATCGCAAGAGCACACACAAACTATAAGTAGATACATGTGTAATTACCTCCGCTCAGGAGGTTATGTTTTTATCGTCGCTGTCTGTTTGTATGGATGTTGGTTGGTTGGTTGGTTTGTCTGTGGACAGGATAACTCAACATTTATGGACGGATTTTCATGAAATTTTGTTAGGGCTGGTCATTGGTACAAGTACAAATCGATTAGATATTGGAAGTGATCCGGATCTGGGTCTGGATGCAGAATATGGTTAGGTTTAGGTTTTGTTTTATTTAACATTGGTGTTAATTTAACATCGTAATATGTATCTTGTATCTTCCACAAAAAAGTGCAAACAATTATAACAATACTGAATAATGAATGTATACTGAATAATGAATGTATAAAAACGAATAAGGGGACACTGGTTAGATAACCAGTTTTCAAAGTTGTTTACTCTACTACCGAACTACTACGCTTACCTGACTTGACGTACCTTTTGAAAGACAGAACCACAAGCTCTGAACTGCGCCGATTTAGCCGCGGGTACCAGGTAATCAAATCGCTGTCTCCGTGTCAAAGTCCATGTCATCAACACGTTAACAAACGAGGCGCAACTGTTTCGCCACCCGGATCGAAAATATGCCGAGAAATTTGTCAATGAGATGAAATTAGATTTTTTTTTTTACACGTGGCTTGCAGGCCATAAATTGCGAGTGTATACCTACCGTGTTAGCGGCACTGGAATGCTGGAACGTCCCGAAATAGCCCTAGTTGTAATGAGCAGTTTCCGGTCATAATTTGAAGAAGTATTCAATCTCCTTGACAATTTCGACGCATGTAATTCTAGATGGACTTTTTGGTTAAATATTCCTACGCAACTTTCTATGGATCTCCATGAAATTTGAACAAACATCTGAAATCATCTCGAATTACAAAACATTTTCAATTGGAACTAAATAAAGATAAGGACGCCAACATTGTCCTCGTTCGTGTCCAGCAGTACGCTCCCACCCCAACCTGCTTTCTCACCCTGG